TCTCACCAGCCTTCAGCAGCTGCCATGCTCTCTCCAGGGTCTTCCCCGTGGGAGTTCATCTCAGATGCTTTGGTGATGACAACTGTTGATTGGGGCTCCCTGCAGCTGCTCTCCTGGAGTCCTCATGTGTCTCGCCTCCATCAAGCTCCGCATTGGGGGTCAGTGTTGAGTATGAGGTCCTGGCGGCCAGGTCAGATGAGATGAGTTTTTTACCCAGGACAATAGCAGGACCATGGCTCAGAAGAGAATCCACATCGTGGTTAATAAGAAATGCCAAATGTTTAAACCAGAGAAGCGGGGTCTAGCTTCAGTATAAAAGGATGAGAAATGACCCTAAGCAGACAGATGATTATGGAGTCAGTAGGCACAGGGTATAGGAGCAGTGGAGGAGGCTGAATGGAAGGTGAACCAGAACACATAGTCCAGTGATTCCACTGACTTGGAACAGCGTGGAGAGCTGGGGAGCAGTTTTGTTGGTTTGTCAGTTTGCCTGTTTTCTGTTTGGTTTTTGTTGAGGAGCAAGTTCCACAGAAAGGGACGCGCCTGTGGAATGAATGGTTCTGAGAAGTGCCGGATGCACACAGCCGCAACAGTTCTGGTTGCAGTGGGCTGGCAGGACCATTACTCTTAACCACCCCCACTGGGGACAATGCATGATTGCTTTTCCACTAGTGCCTTCTGGGTGAAAGCCAGCTCGGTTCAGGAGAGTGTGCATCGGGGAACTGCATTTAGATCAGCAAACATGTGGAATAAAGGAGCATCTCACTTAGTTCCATTTGCTAAGACCTTCTGCCAGCTCACCAACCCTCCTTATTCCCAGTGACTCTCGGACTCTGTGAAGAAACCCACCAAATGGGTCTCAGCAGAGGCTCTTTTGCACCTTATCGTTATATTTGAAACTGGAAAAATAGGGGATTTGGCAAGTGCCAAAACTTGCAGTCATATAAAGACCAAGTCCCAGAAGTAGCCTTGGCAGGCCTGATCCATAAATTAATCAGAATGTTACCTTCAAACAGTTAACACTGGAAGTTCTATCCAGGTGAAGAAGCTAAGAGGTATCTTTTGTATTTTGTAATGAGTATAGGAGGCTTGGCAATAGGGACATAAATACAGAGGTTATTCTCCCAGACTCTGGAATCAGACAGCTTGAGTTTAAAACCCACTGACAAACTGTCGAACTTGTTACTTTACATTGAGCAACTTCTTTATGACTCTGACTCCTCAATGGTCAGTTGGAAAATATGTGCTAATTTCAAAGGGTTATTGGGGGGGACTCAATGAGATAATGGTATGTAAAGCACACAGCACAATTCCTGGCACATGGAAAGTGTTCCAAAAGTTTTATTATAATTATTATCATTATACTTAGACATTATCACTCACCTCAGTTCTTTACTTACTTTCCCAGGCTTCTGCTCATCTTAGACTCCATGTAATTGCCAGTGAGTCAAAAGAGTATTCACTTGTTTGCCAAAGAATGTGTTTGGCAAATTCACAACTGATCTCTTTGGTACCAGCGTCTAACTCCTCATCACCTTCTTGTTTTATTAATAGTTCTGTGACATTGACAGTTTCTCAAGTTACGTTTCAAAAATAAGTAGCTTATTTGAAGCCATCCGTATTTTCAGCCAAAACTCTGTTAATTTACTATCCACTGAATGAAGAAATACTGCCTTGATTTGTCCCGAGTATAACCTCTCCCGAGGGAAACTCCTTAGTTCTAATATTTGAACTGAAGAGTTTTTGTTTTTAAGTAAATATCTACACTACTTACTTTAAGTAAATATCTACACTTTGGCCGCCAGGACCTCATACTCAACACTGACCCCCAATGTGGAGCTTGATGTCAAAGTGTAGATATTTCAGTTCGTAAATCAGTTCGTAAAGCAAATACTAATATTTCTTAGGCTAATAGAATTTTAGCAATACTTAGTAATCATTTCCTGTAGATGGTGAGGTTTTATTTTTTGGTATAGTATTTAAGAGGTTGTTTTCATGAGTATTTAAGAAAGATAGTTTTGGCCTTTTATTCACAGTGGATTTTCCTTAAGAAAATGATCTCCATCTAGTGGACAAAGTATTATAGTGCAGCCTACGAAGAAAAACATGAAAGCCCGTAAAGCGGTCCTGTATCAAGCATTTTATGACCTATTAATAAATGTTTGGCTTTAATAGGTAATATTACTGCAAAAATGTTAAATATTTTAAGATATTTAGCAGTATTTGTTCCAAAACTGATAGCGGAGAATTTTTTTAAGACTTGCTTAAATTAATTGGGAAGATTATAATAAATAAAAAATAAAAATTACTGATTTGGGGAGTGCTATTGGTATTTCCTCTATTTGAACTGAGAAAAACTAAACCAAAAAATCATGCTTCTGTATCTCCTATATTTTTGTTTCTGCATAGCAAAAAAAAGCATACTTTTTTTTTTTGAACAGTAAGGCCATTTTGATATTGAAGGGAAATCGACATGAAGACTTTTTTATGTGTTCACATTATGATGGCCTCGTGCTGAAGAGCTATCATGACTGTCTACTTGGAACAGAACTGTCCCCTTATCCTCCCCTTATGCAGAGGTCTTTAATGTCTTTCAAGGGTATACTGACTGCCTTCAAAAGCCCTTTTAAAACACTATTCTTCCATGAAGATTTCTCAGCTATCGCAGTCTGGATTAATCTCATCTCCTTTATTTTCATGTCCCAGTGTGCTCATAGTAGGTGCTTAATAAATGCATATTTAATTAAGCATATCCAAGAAGAGCTTGCTAGAAATCGGGAATAAGTCTCTTTAGTGAGTAAAGATCCCTTCCCTCCGGCCTTCCTCAGGATTGCCAAAAGTCCCAGACACATGAAGTGGCTGTCCACGTGGAACAGATGTCCCCTGTTTGGTGTCACAGTTGCTAATCCACCTTTGTGGTTCACATACTTGTGCTTTAGAGCTGAGAGAACTTCAGGAATAGTAGACGATTAAATCCAGTGAGCTCAGTCCCTTTGGTCAGTTAACCTTTCTAGGAGCTGGTATCCTTGTCTGTAAAATGAGTCTGTTTAAGTAGTTCAATTCTCAATGTCTTTTAAGGGCCAAATGAATACATCTATAGAGTGACAAAATTCTAAGAAAATTTTCAATTGAAAACATGTTTATGACTGGCCAAGCTAGAATTTTTCCCTTTCTTTTCTCTTTCTTTTTTTTTTTTTTCTTAACTAGATGGATTGATTTGGAGTCAATGTTCTAATCTGGCCAAATATTCATAGTTGACTCATGAAACATCAAGTCTCTAGATGATCCTTCCTCTGTGACTGGCAATCTTTGGGTCATAACATTATTTATTAATAACTCCAGTAGAAAAAGTAAATGAATATTTAAAAGTTAGCTAGTTAATAGTTTGGATAAAGGCTGTAATGGGGAAAGTGTTGATAACCACTGAGCTTGAATTCATTTGTTTATTTATTTATTCAACAATCTTATAAACCACAGACTTGCTGAGCTGTCCTGGGCTGTCACCCTCACCCTCCTCTTATAAGAACACAGGAGAGTTGACTTTATTTTAGTACTGGTTGATGTTTGACTCGAAAAGCTCTTCGTAGAAAGTTTACCTGGATTATAAAGACTGCAATGTTAAGAACTGCATGTTTGGTTCTTTTTGTCCCAAAAATCTAAAATCTGTATCGCCAAGCATCATGCCTTTCATTCATTCGCTCATTATTTCGAACTGCTTTGTAAAGTTTTCTGAATTGCCATGTAAAGTGCCGAGAACACCCAGAGCCTCCATTCTCAGAGAGCTCACAGTCTAGGATGGAGACCAAGTGGTGTGCATTTCCAGTTCATTGTAGATGCTACCAGTCGGGAGTAGGGAAGTATCTTGGGAGTACAGAGAAAGGGCATCTCATAAAGCTCTGGGTGTCAGGGCAGCATTTCACATGAAGGCTAAGTCCTCAAGGATGAATAACAATTAGGTGGGGAATTGGGGGGTTGAGTAATTAGGGAGCAAAAGGTTAGGTAATGAAACCCTGAGATAAGGAGATGGTGATTCATCCCAAGGGAGCATCAAGTGCCTGATAGAAGAGTGTTGCATGTTGAATTTGGGAAATGGGTTCATTGCAATGCAAATGGATTCGTAAGATTCTCTCAGTTCAGCCAAGAAATTTGAACTTTATCGTGAGGACAATAGTGAGCTACTGAAAGGTTTTAAACTGATGAATTACATAGTCAGGTTTATTATATTTTAAGAACAATCACTCTTGGGACAGGGTGGAAAATGGGTTCAAAGGACTAATTTAAAGGCTCTTATAATAACGTAGGTGAGCGCTGGTAGAATCCTGAACTTAATAGATCGGCAGTGGGGATAGAAGGAAGTGGATACAACAGAAATTAGTGATTGATAGATGTCGGTGGGAATGGAGGAGTCCAGGTTTTGGGAAACAAGGATATTAGGCATATAATGGGCACCTGTTGAATTGAACCCAAATATTTAGTGAATTGCTATGTAAAAGGAAGTCTATACTTAGGAAAACTAGTCTTTGCAGAATGGCTCCTTTTTAAGGAAGCTTGAGTTCAGAGAGTCCTTTGTATTTTGTATCTGGTGGATTAAAAAAAGTACTCAAGAGCTTAGGAAGACAAGCCAGTGTGGTTTTTTCCTTTTGTGTATTTCGATATTATTGTTTTTTAACAGCAGGAATCAGTTGTATGTTTTCCTACTTTCAATTCCTGAACTGAAATATCCTTTTTCTAAAATATCAACATACAAAGGTTCACAGCAATGTCTTTCCTTTTCCTTCATTTACAGTTTTGATGTGGACAATGGCACATCTTCGGGACGGAGTCCCTTGGATCCCATGACCAGCCCAGGATCTGGGCTAGTTCTCCAAGCAAACTTTGTCCACAGTCAACGTCGGGAGTCCTTCCTGTATCGATCTGACAGCGATTATGACCTCTCACCAAAGTCTATGTCCCGGAACTCCTCCATTGCCAGTGACATGTAAGTGTAAGGGTGAGCAAAGAAAAGAGGGTGCTCTTAGAGAAAATCAAGTAAGTATATCTCTAGAGATGATAAAACCACTGATATTTGTGCATTCCAATGATGCATAATAGAGATTAAATATCTCCAATTTAAAAAGAAGGGTGACTAAAATTATACAGGCTGAAGATAAATGGTAGATTGAATTTGAGTACACTGTCACTCTTGATAAGAAGCATTTATTTTCCCTAAGAATACATTGCCTGGGAAAGTGGGAATTAAATTTTTAATGGAGACATTTACACTTAAGACATTAACTTGTATCTATGTAGGACCTGAGTTTTAGCTACTCAACCTCGTGAATATTTTCTAATATTTTGAAAAGCTTTAAACTCAGTTGGAGAATCCCTGTGATATTGGCATCATTAGCACTTTGATTATGTCTCAGTTAATGTACCGTGCAGATGTTAGCGCTGGTTTGCCAGACCATTTGAGAGATCTTTGTGGAGGTTTGCGTAAATTAAACCATTTTTGGAATATTAATCACTGGAGGCAAGCACAGAACACATTAGACAAACTCGAATATCATTTGAGACATGGCAAAGCTTGGAAAATAATTAGAACTGATAAGCAAGTTCACAGATCGTATACCATCACTAGCTTATTTTCTCAGCACATTCCATTCTTGTGTTTACTGTGGTGTTCATTAGTTTCCTAGTTTCTGGTGGTTTCTATATAGGACCTCTTATGCAATGCCTGGGTTGTCATTTGTGGTAACTCTGCCTCTCTGTAGACTTAGTCACTCCTGCCCTAGACATTTGTCCAATAATATCACCATCTTCTCATGACACCAACTCGAAGACTCAGGACAGGTTGCTGTACATCTGCTAGGAACTGTATGGGGCTCCTGCCGGTCCAGTGTTACTCCGGATACTCTAACAGATCATCGAAGTATCCCAGTGAGTCTCCATGGGGCTCTAGAAACGGAGTTGTGCTTTACTCGTGTTCCTAACCTGTAGTTCTTGGCTGACATTTATTAATGGTTATAAAATGATAATACTCTCTTCTCCGTAGGAATGAGCAACTAAAGTACAATCATTTTGATGCAAATGCTGAATGATTAAATCCCATTGTGTAGCTGCCCATGTTTGAAGCATGGCAGGAGATATAAGAAAATTCTAAGACAGGGTTCTTGATCTCAAATAACATAGTCTTTTGAAATTAAGTCTCAGATCAAATAATTAGTGGAAAAGACAGTATGTTAAGTCCTAATTTGCATCCTTGTGGGCTGTAGGTAAAAGCATCTCATCACCTACCCCTAATTATGCACAGATCTACACCATCTTTCTAAAACTATCCAGTCTACTCTCTTTTTATCTGTTTTTTTTTTTGAGATGGGGGCAATGAAACTTCTTCCATAATTTTCTCTCTCCACGTCCTCCCACCTGCACCCCAAGATCTACATCTACTCTCTGTATTTCCTTACATATTATGTTGCTTTAGCATTCTGAAATCTATCTTCAATTTATATTGACCTCTGAAAATCCATTAATTCAAAGACTATTTATCAGTCACCCCTAAAGAGGAAGACATGGTGCCAGTTATTAGAGGAAAGACGAGGTGCATTTCCTCTCCTGGCGGTCACCATTGTTGTGTTCTTCCCTCCTGCTCACAGACCTCTTCTCACCAGCTCCTCTGATCACCCCTTAACATATTTCCCCTGACCCTCCGGGGTTCGCTTTAGAAAACTTTTTTGTATGGGTTCAACCATCAGCTTTCATCAGAGGACTTCCTGCTCAGTGTCTCTGGCCCTGCAGTGTCAGTTGAGCTCCCGATCTATAAACTGATTTGCCTTCTGAAAGTTTAGACTTTCTTGTTCAGCTGTTCCTTCACACTCTCTAGTTAGTACATAGTCATCATTAGTTCATTGCACTGATGGTTTCCACTCTTCTTCACTCCAAAACAACTTCCTTTTCCCATTGGCTCTATTTCTGAGTTATCTTTATTCCATTTTCTTAGGTTTGAAATATAAGAGTTTAATTTATTCATTCACACATAATGAAAATACCTAATGAGCAACTATGGTATATTCAAAGCTCCCAATCTATACAGGGAAGGGGTGGGGCAGGGGAGAGCTGACACTTTAGACCCTTTTAATAAAATGTGGTGAGCACTATCCTTGGGGCATTTACAAAACCATGAAAGAAAAGGAGAGGAGAAGGAGAGTTTGCCAGACAGGGAGCAATATTTGGATAATGTGAGGTAAGTAAAAATCACAGCTCAATTAAGGAATGACAGTCTGGTTGGTGTGGGTAGGGAAGAAGATTGGAACACAGTCTACAGGACCTGAGAGCCACAGAGGATTCTAGCTGGGATCACATGATCACATACTTCTGTTTGAGGTGGGGGTGCTGCAGGAATTTTTGTTGTTGCTGTTATTTATTTGGGAGGAAGGGGTGGTAATTAGATTTATTTATTTTTAGAGGAGGTACTGGGGATTGAACCCAGGACCTCATGCATGCTAAGCATGTGCTCTAGCACTTGAACTATATCCTCCACCGACACTCTTGTTTTTGTTGCTTCTGATTACTCTATTGTTGAATGATTGGAAAGAGTGAAGTGATTATAGGAAAATGGATTGTGTTGAAATTCACAGAAACAAAGCAGGCTAAATAGGGTGGAGGCCCAGTCAAGGGAGTGGTGGTGGGATGATGAGGTTGGTCCCAGATAGTAGAGGCAAGAGGCTTACAGAAGTGTGTGTGTGTGTGTGTATGTGTGTATGTGTGTGTGTGTGTGTGTGTTGGAGGACAGCCAGCAGGCAAGGAGAATCAGAGAATGCTGAAGTTCTGACCCCAAACAAGTAAATGAACAGTGATATTGATGTGAGGAACACAGGAGAGAGAGTGGACAACATAATGACATGATAAATTTGGCTGTTACATAATGAGGCTAGAATTCCGGGAGAAACAAGACAACAGTTAAAGGACGAGGACAGAGAACAGAAACAACAGTGAGGAGAAATTTGAAGAGCCAGTTGCCTTCTATAATTAATAGGTTTGGGATGACCACTGGGAGAAGCATCTTAGTGGGGTAAATTATTAGAAGAATTGGTGAAGGAGTGAACTGAAAGTGGAGCTATCAGCAAGTGCAGGCATCTCTTTTAAAGGTTAGTAAGTTAAAGAGGAAAAAGAACTAAAGCTGCTTGAGGCAGAAGTGGGTTCAAGGGAAATTTAAAAAATTTAGGACACCTAAGCTGAGGGAAGCAGGGGTTATGTTGGAGCTGTAGCTGCTGACAACACTATGATCATGAGTTCAAGTAAAGCGACTAACCTTGGAAAAGTGGTAGGGACAAGTACTGCATTCTTTAGAACAATGAAAAAACAAATGAAAAGGAGAAATATAAATTTGGAGATGGACGGGTAAAATGTTTCGAGAACTGGTGGCTAATGGTCTCTACTTTTTCATGCAAGCAGAAAGCTTAGCCATCAAAAACTAAAGGAGAGAGGGTAGGGCAGCTTGAGAACTAGGGGGAAGCTTAAGAGCCAGACTGCAGATCACGAAAAGGACAGAACAGGGATGAGCAGAAGAGCAAAATGCTGAAAAGCCCTGTAGATAATAATAAATAATGCTGAATGGATGGATGGATGGATGACCAGGCTGAAAGTCATCTCCCTCAACTTCATCAGAGGTGAAACAACTTAGCTTGAGATAGAGACCAGGCACAAACTCTTGGTGAGCTAGTGGACCCGGTTTTACAATGGTTATGTATTTTGTTTTCTAAAATTAGAGCAAACTGGTTTTTAGATACCAGTGTGTACCCATGCATTTTATGAAAAGTCTATAATATTTCACATTTGAATAGTGCTTTTCTTTCCAAAGTAAGCTTAGTGCAAGGATGGCCTCGTTTTCCCCCGCACCTAGTCACGGGTTTCTTTATCTGATCAGACTCCTGTAAGAGTGACAAATCTAATTAGACTGTGATGCAACTCTATATTTTGCTGAGAAATAATGTCTTGATATGTTCAGCTTTCCCATTTCTCCTGGGTATTTATGTTGGAGCAGTAAGGTTTCCCTTTGACACTAAGTGGCTCCTGGAAAGCATTCTTTCTACCAGGGAGATGAAATTTCTCTGAGAAACAAGATGAACAGAATAAGTAACTACCATTTCCATCTTTAATCTGGTAATACACATACCACTACACATAAAGGATCTCCTCTTCTCTTATTTGACGTCACATCTGGCCATCTGTAAAGCTCCATTTTCTAACCTACTTCATGATAATGCTGGGAAGTTTGTTCAGTGTCTGTAATTCAACTGTACTCTTTACAGGGAATGATATTATCATGTATTTTAATTGCTTTTGATGATTTTAGACTTAACTGGTCTAGTTAAGCTTTTCTACTGAGAAGAGCCCTTAGAAATTTCAAATACAAACAGTACCAATGAAGGTTTGGAAAACTCCTCTTTAAATTCAAATACAATTGTTTAATTTGTTGATACAGTGAAAAGGAAAATAATTACCTTGCATAAGACAGGATATCATTACCTCATCGTCTATAAATAGATACTAATTAAATAGCTGAGACACAAGAAGAAAGTAAGAGTGATAATGGTAGTGATCAGTATTATAGCATATATTGGGTATGTGTGTCGGCCTTCATTTTTCTAAGTATTCACACCTGCCATCTCATTTGATACTTTCCACAGCCCTATGGATAGAATTATTGCCCCATTTTACAGATGAGAGAGCCAAGGTCCTGAGAGCTTTACCTTTTTAAAAACACAACAAACATTTCGATCATTTCTAAGGGAACATTATTTTGATAATGCCATTATAAACAAAGTGCTGTGTAGCAAAACTGATGAGAAACAGAAGTACCTGTGGACCAAATTCATTTGACCAAACGAATTATTTGGCACTATGGAAACTTTATTTTCAGTTCTTAAGGGAAACAAAGATACAAGCTCAAATTGGTCAGAGAAGTAGTAAAGAAAATATGCAACTGACTCTTGGAAAATA